TCAGACATATATTCTCCTTAAAAAAACTGGTCTAGACACAACTTAAACCATTCCATTCAGAGGAGGTCACCCAACCCTCTTTTCAGCCACCATCATTGATCTAGCCATATTGAGAGCTGCAGTGAGAATTTCATGTTTCTCTATTCAGATTTGGATTCTCCTTGAAAAATGGGTCCAGATAGAAGTCAAACCATCTAAAATGGAGGTGAAACCATTAGGGTTCCATCAGTATTTTGTATTTTTTAGCCCAATCAGGAAAGGTACCAACTTGGGACCATCAGATTTGGAATCTCCTCAAGAAAGTGCACCTGGTGATACCCATATCATCTATTTTGCTGTTTTAAAATGCGGCAAGATCACCTAACAATAGCCCAGGGTTATTTGAAATGGACCTCAAAACAGCCCATGCACATGGGCAATCCATCATATGACCCAATGGACCTGGGTCAACACACACAGCCCATGTCCATGCACCATGGTCCAAATCATCCCTGGACCTGAGTCACATCCATGGACCATCCCAGACCATCCCAGGTGTATTTAGGATGACCCGCAGACACCAGTCTAAAATCACTACTCTTAGTAGGAACCTATATACCAAACAGTTCCTACTAAGAGTAGGAGAAATATGGCAGCCTAAGGTGCCAGTGTCCTCTTCGCGGTTAGATTGAGGATCACCTTCACGATCTTCACTAGTAATTTGAAATTCAGCTCAGACTTGTTTCAAGCTATTACCATTACCTAGAGTGTTGCTAGCAGCGGCCTGTATATGGCTACTGCGACACAAATCAGGTAAGGTTGGTTCCTCGTTTCCAATACTATCCCATATTGGTAATTGAGTGGGGTTGTCAGGAACCTGATGGCTTTCCCGACTATCCCCTTGGAGAACCCGTGAGGTTCTCCCATCTGGTTTTCTTTTGGGTTTGGCCATGTCAACTTGGGGTTGATATGTTAGTAGCTTTTGTGAAGTTCAAAAATGTGTAAGATGGTACTTAGGCTTTAACCTTAATCACATGGTACAGAACCGGACCACATCTACGGTTGTTCTGTGTACAGTGTATGTAAATAAGGTTCTAAAGTAAGTAGATATAAACACAGGGTTTATATCATGTGGCTTTAGCCACAATACAAATATATACAAACATAGTAAAGCTACCGGGCCCTTACATTTACAGACTAATATTATGCCTATGGTTTTACATTATGCCTACATACTCTCACACCCATATGATTACTTATGGTGCAGTTCATTTACAAACTCCGGATATTAATTCCCCAAACTGGTTATTATTTACTGTACCTGCACTCTATGTTTCCCTGTACTCAGACACCACCTTAGCTACAGTTTAATGTAACTTGGAACTCCGGAACTCCCAGACCCCACCACACTCTAGTAGTATATAAACTGTAGCTACTCCATGTACTTTCTTTAGTTTGAATATTGACTTAGATTCCTCATCCTCTAGTCCCCTCAGACCTCTGCTTTAATTTTGTTACTTATCCAACCCTTTGTAAATTGAGACGAAGAGAGGTTAGAGAGGGCGCAGCACATAAGCTGAAGCCGCATTGTCTCTCTTGACCTTTTTACTTCAAGCCCGGAACTCTGATACTCCACAACCCCATAACTCTGGTCGGACTTGGAGTAATAAGAATCTGTACAGTGAACAGTTCTTAACAGACATGATGAAGAGAATCTTTGATGAGTTATCCAGGAATGTGCTATCATGCTACATTAATTAGATGTCATACAGGACAAGCTACTCACAACCTACAAGTCAAATTTTAACTTCTACATATGCTTTGGCGTAAAGTGCTTTGATTTGATGCTGGGAAATGGCAGGTTATTAGTATGGACAACTGAAAATGGATGTTCGTGTGGAGAATCTCCTGCATACAACCATAGATTCTTCGGTTATGAGGTGTCCAAAATTGGTGGCTAGCCACTGCAAAAGAGGTTCATGAAAATAAGCTCAACTTGACTTACTGTAATGCTCACTTCATGCTGAACAGTGAAGAATATTAATTAGTATGCACAATTGCACATTTGATCTCAGCCAGATCTTCATAGTACTTGAGTGCCAATGGAATTGATGTAAGGAAGGATACTTGTAATATAACATGCAGATTCTTAGCCGTTGCAGGAAACCAGCCCTTTTGCAAAGATTGGCAATCCTGAGGTGGTCATGGTGAGTGAATGTCTTATTTCTGAGGGCATCAACTTGGGAGTGCATTTATTAGGTTAATTTATAGAAGACATGTTTAGAGGTGGACTTGCTCCTGTTGGATCTCCTTCAATCAAAATCCTTGCCCTCCCACTGCTGAACCGTGGCGTCACCTGATCTGAAGTTATTAAGATTGCCCAAATTTAAGCCCTCATACTTGCTATTCAGCTGATTTTACCGTACTGAATGATGGCATCAATAAGTCAGCAATGATGAGATGTATACTACCAAAACAAATATTCACTGTGATTTGCATTGATGATCTTTCCAGTGCCCACTGTAATCATTTCTATCAATTCTTCCTTATTTGCGGCTAGGAAATCCATGAGATGATAACACGTACTTTCTGGCCACTGCTGCTGGCATATTGAGGGTGTAAAAGCCCCGATAAAGATGATATGTCATCCTGTTATGATTGGCACAGACACCGCCCTGGAGTTTCATTTGATGCTATGTAACGGGTTGGGATCCTAAGAAGAACATAGCAGATTGGTACAACATATATCTTATGATATATAAAATGACCAAGCAACTAACCAAGCAATCCATACACAAGCTTAGTACACCTTGTTCGAGAACAACCCACCAATCCAACCCAACCTTGAATCTGGACAGCCCGCCTTAGCCAGCCAGGCGGATCAGCTCATCCATGCAATATTGCTGAAAGACAGTTTCAAATCATGTAAAACATGGTGAAAAACAAGATGACGTACCAGCATTGGGATGCTGTAAGAACAACAGAATTTGTCCGAACACGTCATAACAATATTCAGCCTCGAATCTGATCCTTCATCCAATGTGAAATATCGCTAGAGTGCACAACCAACGACCATCTCCTTACATATGCAGCTGTTCAAAGCATGTGTTTGTAACACGCCGTTTACAGCTAGGTGGTACCTCGCTCTTCTCTCTCTGTCTATCCCTAATCTCCAATCTAAACACACTCATCTACCTTCATATTATATGATTCCGGAGCATTTAACGCCATATCAATGTTAATCTTGGGGTAGATCGGCGCGAATGTAATCAGTATCGAAGTGGCGTTTCAAGGCTGCCAAAGCACTAAGTTGAGTACGCGCTGAAAATGAATCGGGGACAAATAGAAATGGCGCACCTAGTATAGATAATCATATGATCCTGCCATTTTGCTTTGCGACCGCCTTTATCAAGCCGTCATCTTGCTCACCAACTGCAAGGCGATG